CCACAACTCCATAGATGACGGTGTAACTCTTGGGGACAGTGGCTATGCATGTTCCCCATTCCTTACGGGCCCATACAACAATCCAGAAAGCCCAGGGCAGGAGGCAGACAACTCAGCACACATTAACAGGGTTCAACATCTCCGGTAGTCCAAGGTGAGTAAAAATAATGCCAGGCTTTTAAAATGTCACATTTTCATTAAATGAAAAAGTTGACATGGTGATGCTCAACTTGAATTTATTCTATCGAAATAGTTCACCGAATAGGAGCAACCTGGAGGCCTCATTTTGTGCACTGGGTAAGCGTCCCTTGATGCCAACTTCTTTCTGCAACCCATTGGCTGCCAACACTGAAAGAGCTGCAAGGTATCTTATAGAGGGCTGTGATGCTGTCCTTACCCACCTCAAGCAGGTTTGTCAATAAGAAATCAAATTTTCTATTGAACCATTTGGTAACTTTATTTTTTTCTAGTATGCATTGGTATAAACTGTCACTTTTTTTACTCCAGCTTCAAAGTGAACACAGTGGTACCAGAAACAAAGTGGTGGCTGCCAAGGCAAAGATCTTCCTAAAAATCCTGACACCAAAGGATGGAGTGTACTGTACTTTGTACACTTCCTGTGGGATCAGACCACCTGTTTTTCCAGACTTTCCGGGGTCTTCCAAGATAGGATGATCACAATGGAAGGAGATTCACACCTAGCTTACTGCCGATAAGGCTGTTCCAGAGTCCTATCTAGGGTTCTCCTGTGTACTAGTACAGCACTTAAAGTAGCTCTAAATGTTCTATGTATTTATTCATTATATATTAGGTCTTCTCTGATCAGAAGAATATTTGGTACAAATAGAGTACATTTTGACACCTTACTGTAAGAAATTATTCCATTCCTTTTCTTACTGTACAGTGAAGGACATATAGTTGCATCATTGAAAAAATTGGATCCACTTCATGGCATTTCTGGTAGCCCTCAACAGTATCATAGTGCTAACATCAAACTCCTCGATCAACTTCTTAAGTGTTTGACTGACAGGTTTGAGGATGATCAGGAAAGTCTGAAAGCAACGTTCATAGCTAATATGAAGCCATGGCCAAAGAACATTGACAATGAACCAGGTAACCAAGGCTGCAACATGTCCTGATGAACATCCTGCTGTCTCAAGACACAGCAACTGTCATTTGTGATCTGTCACCTTTCAATTTAGAGACACCTTTACTTCTAATTTACAATTTAAGCACATTTATAGGAAAAATAAATGTAACAGTAAACATTTTCATAATCACTTGTGCTCTTCTGTTCCTTTTGTTTCGTTCTGCTTGTTATAGTCTGTGGAAACTCATTGGTGAAAATCCTTCTTAACAGGTTTGGACCAGCCCTTGAAACTGCAGGAATAGATGTACACAATTGATGCCAGAATGGATGCCAGATTTAGTGATTTCATGATGTGAGATTGTAAAGGTGTATTACCCCACAAATTGACCACCCTATCCTGCCACTTGCCTGTTTTTTATGCCATGTGGACGGATTTTTGCTAACTGGTCCCTGTCAGAAGTTGAAAAACTGCAGAAGGGTATGTTGTTAAAGAACCTGGTCAATTCCTGTGAGGCATTGCGCATTGTCTATTTCAATTTTACTGAACGAGCTCCAATCTCTTGGGAGGAGAAATTATGGCATCTCATCTCAAGGAAGAAATGGATGCCATATTTGAAATTTCAGTGCTCAGTGTTTTTTGTTCCCCATAGCAGCCCTGTTGGAATGTAAAGGATTTTAACATCCGGTAACTTTGTCTGAGGCCAATCAAGCTGCATTTCATGTCACAGTCAGAGCTGTCACCGAGGGCACGTTCTGTGCTTCTTTTGAAAAGAAAAAAACAAAAGCAAATTATCATAGAGAAACAGGGAAATAGGTTTGAGAACGATGTGACCAACAGTGAAACCTCCAGCAACCCATGTTACTGCCAGGAATTTGCATTTGGTCGAAGGTAATGCTTGCATGAGGCATAATTTGAATGTGTTTCGTTGGTAGCATCTGCTTGCTGTCAATTCCTGTTCTGTGCCATAGCAAGAAAAACCAACCTCTCAAGACGTAGACAACTGTAACCCTCTCTGTAAGTTTAAATGCCAACCAATGAAAAAAGATTTACCAAGAGGAGAAGCTGTCTATACTTTGCACTTTGTGTATCATTTAGCATGCAGAATATACCAGTTATGGTCCATCAGTTTTGTATTGATGAGAAATCTAAACTCAGTCATCAAGTGACAACTAAATGATTCAAAACTCGTTAAACACAGGACAACTTTAAAGTAGTTTGTTAAATGTATTTCGATTCACTTGTGCAAAAGACAAAATTTCTTAAGCCATACCTATATACGATGGTCCGTAAGTGCATTCTTAAGAAAAGTAAAAAAGTAAATAAAGATTTTTGTTTAGGATCCAAAGTTTTTATCCAACTTCCATAGATTTCATTCTCCGGCAAAGCTGTTTTCCCCAAATCCATAGTTTTTCCTTTGGATCCAGCTATGGATTTAAAGTTAGTACTCTGGATCCAAAGTTTTTACCGCGGTTCCACAGTCTTTTACTCCGGATCCAAAGTTATTATTCAAGATCCAAAGTAAGTACTCCGGATCCAAAGTTTCATACTGTGGATCCACAGTTATTACTCCGGATCCAATGTTTTTACTCCGGATCCAAAGTTTCTTACTGTGGATCCAAAGTTTTTTCTCCGGATCCAATGTTTGTACTTTGGATCCAAAGTTACTATTCAAGATCCAAAGTTTCTTATTATGGATCCAAAGTTTCTTACTCTGGATCCAAAGCTTTTTCTCCAGATCCAAAGTTATTATTCCGGATCCAAATTTATTATTCAAGATTTAAAGTTCTTACTGTGGATCCAAACTTTCTTACTGTGGATCCAAAGTTATTTCTCCGGATCCAAAGTTTTTACTCTGGATCCAAAGTTATTACTCCGGATCCAAAGTTCTTTCTCCAGATCCAAGGTTTTTACTTCGGATCCAAAGATCCAATCCAATATAATATTGCGATACTGGAATTTGAACATGTGCATGCAGTTCACCGTTCAACATGGCGGGTGCTCAAGGTGGAGGTGTAGGAGACGTAAGTTTTCCTTCCATTTGGTCTCTTAATTGATTTGATGCACACCCTAACGAGTGACTTAAGTATTTTATAGCAATTGTCTAGGGAAAGTGATCAGTCTCTAATGCTGAGAAAGCTCAGAACTGCCTCATCGAAACTTGCACCTACAACGATTGAGAACAAAAGATTTGACTGTCACATAGCTCCACAAGTCTCTGTGAGTTTTAGAGCCAAAGGCTTGAATCTATATGGAGGTGGGGGCATTCCCCCGGAAAATTAAAAAGAAAAGGCTTATATAGGCTATTCTTTCCATAACATATTTTTAGAGACGTTATTGAGTAAGATGACCCACATTTTCAGTGTTTTTTGATGAACACAATGAAGTAGCTTGTCAGTGAAAAGTAAAAAAACTCAACTGTAGGTTATTTTACTAACTTCCAACGGTGTGCTGAAAAGTTCTTCGAAATGGTCATTTCACACAAAAACTGGCTTTTTTCAGCTCCACGACATAAGCTTACAAAAAAAGTCTTGACTACACTTTTTATAAGGTTGCTTTGGTTCACCTTTGAGGAAGTTGTAGTTTTGAACAGCATGCATGCATGACTTCCAGTCCAACAGATCATATTGCACATGCGAGATCTTGTCAAGTTCTGCCATACTCTACAAACTGGGTGATAAATATTATAGCTGGCTGAGAAATATATTGACTTGATCTTAAAGACTGAATTCGGTGTTTTCATAAGAGTAGTAACCAGGTCAATAATTTCATCAATCATGGCATTTGTATAACTATTACTTCTATTACTACTACTATTATTATTATTATTATTATTGTTGTTGTCGTTATTATTTTGTGGGTTATGACCATGCATTGGCTATCTATCAATCCAAGATTTCGAACGTTGGCTGCAAGGGGCAATAGTAACAATGTCATCACTAATTTTTTATTGGCGATTTTATTTGATTCTAATAGTTAAAATTGAGTAACTGTGAGAGAATATAGAATAACGCATTTCCTACCAAGAAATTTAAAACAGTAATGGGCCACAAATTCCCTTTTGCAGCTATTTATTTATTTCTTACACTTCTTGGACACCTGTGGCCGTCAGAACATTGCTACAGTTAACAAGAAATGATGTTATAAATACACTGTAACATGAGATGTAAAAACAGCAAAATGGTAATCGTTATAACATATTTTAGACCTCAAGCATACAAACTGTTACACCAAAAGATGCTGATCAGGTAATAGAATAGCTTTTGTGAAAGTTTTCTGTTCTTTCTTTTAAAGATGCAAGAAAGAACACTAATAGTTGTACTAATGAATAAGTCTTTCAGGTCTGTTCTCTCAAAAGAATATATTATTTTTGTTGCTTTTCAGTTATGACATTTCAGGGAATAGAATATTTTATACCCTGTTGCACACAAGGCTAAACTAAAAACTTCCGTTTTGTTTATTCTTCAAAAGAAATATTTGGACAAATCACTACAAAGCCTTCCCTGACCGTACACCATGTACATGTATGTTGAATTTTAAAGTACCAAGAACATAATGAAAGCTGACGTTCACTTCAGTGGTCAGGGTAACACTGCCCTTAGAAAAATTAGAAATTTTAACAAATTGACTCGCGATATTGTCAACTTGATTTTAACTTTTACACCAATAATCTCTAAATTAATCAATTTACTTTAACGTAAACCTTTAAATGAACTGTTCTGATTGGTTTCCGTAAAGTCACGTACGAATAAATTATGACGTACATTTTTTTCTGATTTTATAGTTTGACTATGTTGCTGTTCCGTACAGCAGTGAAGCGTCCTTGAAAGAACTGGGATTAAAACTGGGTGGTGTATTTACGCTGAAAGCACTTGCAGAGAAGACAACTTTACAAGACGAAAAAGTCAAAAGATGAAAGAGGAGAGGAAGAGAAAGTTACTCAAGATCTTACAAAAGAAAGCTGATGGCTCTAAACGCAAGCGCACAAAAGATAACTCTGGCAAGACCGCTGCAACACCTAAAACACAAAGAATTCAACTAGGCTTGATGCGTTATGATGAGCGCAACAACAAATACAAAAGGGTTTCCTTGGTCAAAGGAGGTGGCACAAGAAAGGTAGACCTGCCTGTTGACTTTAACGGAGATGATGTAATCAAATACGCAATCAAGCATTTTTTCCCAGAAGATGAATTCACTTCAGACGTCAGTTACGAACTGGCTAATTTTAAGCAAGAGCCAGTGTCCAAACTTGTTGATACTCGCGGAGAAGTGCACGATTTTACTATCCAAAAATACTGTGAACTGTGCAAGACCCACCAGCTTAACCTATATCTTCTCGTGAAAGAAAATCCTGTCGTAGAAGATGAAGAAAATGGATGACAGAGCGGCTTTGTTGATCCCTGTGTTAGATAGTCCTTTGGAGGCTGGCTTAACTGACTGACCAGCCATTGAAAACAGTAACCTACAATTTTTATCAAAAATTCAGTCTTACCACCCCTCCAGCATGTCATCAGCAGATAGAAATTCTGCAAGGAATGGGATCACAGAAAGGCGCAATCCTCCCTTCCTTCCCTCATTTTAATAGGTATTTTTCCAAATACCATCAGTAAAGTTTTTGTGGCTGCCTTACTTGCTGGTAAAGATGCCCTGTCTGCAGATTATTACATTTGCGGCCTTTTGGATCACGTGTCAGAATGCGACTCCTTACAGCTTAAGAGTGGGCTTGAAACGTCAACGACTGCTGGTGTTTTTTCAGAGGAAACGTCCACGTTCCTCCTGGATTTTGCATCGGAATATGGAGTGGTTCAAATCCCAACCCACTCCTCACTACGAGGTATTTTGGTCAGTGTCGCTAAAACGGAACTAATTGCAAAGCCCTCTGTTGCTCTAAATGACATTAGGACTGGAATGTTCTAAGGCAAGTTCCAGAAGTTGTGGGAAATTTCCGCACAGCAGAAGTAGATTATCTCTACAACAAAATGAGGCTCACCACCTCGAAGGTTCTCAAGATGATATGCGTGGATGAGATGTCGCTGAGTTAGCCACAATCGTAGGTACTCCAGTTTCTATGTTACGGGAAGCTCTTTACCAGTAGTGCAGAGCACCAATGTTATGTTTCATCCGCAGGCTGGAAACTTTCCCTTGGTGTATATTCACACCTGCTCAGCAATAATTGATCTCCCTTTTGGTGGTTACACAGGGTTTAAAGATTTCAGAGTCCAGTTGGATAACACCCTACAATCTCCAGAAGCATGGCAATTTACATCAGCCTAACACTCTGCCAGTCTTGCCTTTTAAACTGTCAGTTGCTCATACAGTTCTTTCCTGATCCAGGCAACGTTAGATGACTACTTTCTTAGTGATATAGTTCTTGTTATGGTAGTTTCATTAGTTTCCTTAATTTCGGACAAAAAAAGTGGCTTCTTGGATCCTGAAAGATCTATACATTCCCTATTTACTTTTACTCAGCAAGTACATAGCCATTAAAATAAGTGCGTAGAAAACAAAGGTCTTTATACAGCTATTTTGAGAAAGTTTGTCGGAAAAATGTGCATACAACAATCCCGAAAGGTAATATGGGACATGATCAATACACTGTTTCTGACGACTGTACCTGTCGAACCTACATTTGTTGCTTTCCTTTAGCACTCACAAACACGTTTTCACCGCCTTTCGTACCAATTCTTTCAAATTTCTTTAAAAAAACAGTAAACTTAAAACCACCCACATTGCCTTTCGGGATTGTCGCATGCACTTTTTTTGACAACCTTTCTCGAAATAGCTGTATATTCACACCTGCTCAGCTATAATTGATCTCCCTTCTGGTGTTTACACTGGGTTTCAAGATTTCAGGGTTCTAGTTACAGACTAATTCTAAACCTCAAGGGACTAAACCAATTTGTCACTTATCACCATTTTAAAATGGAAACACTTCAGTCAATAGTCCGATTAGTCGAAGAGAATTGCTAAATGGCCTCACTAGACCTCAAGGATGCTTATTATACGGTTGGCATGAGCCCGTCGCACAGGAAATACCTACGTTTCATGTGGAAAGATGTTCTGTATCAGTTCACGTGTCTACCCAATGGGTTATCCTCTTGCCCCAGGAAATTCACAAAATTGCTAAAACCCCCGCTTAGCAAATTACACAAAAACGGTCACATATCAGCTACTTACATTGATGACCTTTACCTCCAAGGAAGAACATACGATCTTTGTGTCTCTAACATGATTGACACTTTTTATTCAATTCGATTCCTTGTGGTTTACAATCCATCCAGACAAGTCTTCTTCATCCCATCCAAACGTCTGGTTCTATTAGGCTTTATTATCGACTCGGTCGCCATGACTACCACACTGACCCCTGAAAAGGCCTTAAAAGTTAAAGAAGCTTGTGGCACTCTTCTGGGAC